AGGCTTGTTCTTGGGGTTCCTTACTCCCCTCTTTTATATATTGAGGACTTACTTCTGGAATCAAAAGCCTTGTGTCCACTGCCCTTTCTCGTTGACTTATTTCCCACAGTTCCACAGTTCCTGAGTTCTGTGCAAGTGGACCTGGGAGCCGAGAGTTCAGAGATGAACAAAGTTGTTTTATCCACCTTGACCTGGTGGGCAGACACTGCACAGAGCCACTGCAACTCAGGGCAGGATGCCATGGGTGCCAGAGCCACCCTTGGGGGCCTGTATGAGAGTGTAGCTTTTGTTAACACACCTGTGGGGCACGTCCCTCAGCTACTTCCAGCATGCTCTCTGCTCACAGTTACAGTAACATCTTTATCTTTTAAAGGCATTGTTTATGTGCCCATTCAGAAACATTTGTGTCCTCTACCAAGTGCCAGCTCCTCACACAGGGACACAGAGGGCCTGACAGTGTCCCAGGACAGTCCGCCAAGAGAATCAGAGCCTTATCTTTGGATGGATCAGTGACAATTTGGGAGCCTATCTATGTCATGCTGACTTACTCATGATTTCTCATTTGAATACAGGTGTTGTACACACATGTGTGTGATTCTTAGTCACAAGTCATGATCTGTCCCACCTAGATCATAATCTAGGTCGTGTGTGTGTGTGTGGGTGTGTGTGTGTGTGTGTGTGTGTGTGTGCAAACTTATGTAATTACTTTTGCTTTTCAATGTTAGAACTAAGGTATTTTGAGGCCAGGTGTTGGGACACATACCTTTAATTCTAGCGCTCAGGAGGCAGAGGCAGGCAGGACTCTTGAGTTCAAGGTCAGCCTGGTCTACAGACTGAGTTCCTGACAAGCCAGAGATACATAGTTAGACCCAGTCTCAAGAAAACAAAACAGGAAAAAAAAAAAGATAACCCTCAAATAAACAAAGCCAGGAGCTTCCTTCCTTGTGATTCGAGAGCATTCATCTCCAGTGGGGGAAAATCTATAAAAATCAATCTAAACACAATTAGCTCGAGGCGGGAGGTGCCAGGCTGCTGTCTCTCCATCCACGCCTCCCAGATGTTGGCTACATCATGCCTTTCTCTAGGAGATGCAGGTGTCTATGGGTGTGTAATGCGGTGGGAAGGGTCTGGGGCTCAGCTGGAGAAAACAGCTTTGTAACAGCGTACCTCCTTCCTGGAGGAAGCTTCCCTTACCCTTCTGTCTGTCTGAGTGGCCTGCAGTGGTAGAGTCAGTGACAGCGAGGCTTCTAGAGGGTGGGCTGAGCCTGTCTGGCCGCTTTCTGGCCTGGGTACACACAGAGGAGCAGATGTGAACACTGGCAGGGGACGGTGGGGCTGCCCACCCCTGCACAGGTTCTAAGGCAGGGATTGGATCTTCTATGTCAAGTGAAGACTGGTGTCTCTGCAGTGACGGTGGTTGGGTTGGGGTGCAAAGCAGCTAAGGACCCCCCTCAACTTCATGCTTTTCCTCCTTCCCCAGCACCTCTGAGATGCCGAAGAACGACCCAGAGTTCAGTCAGTCAGTCAGCCATCAACAGATACTCGAGACAGTATTCCCAGACAGTGAAGGAGTTTTCTTCAGTGAGTAGTAGCAGAGCTACTAACAAAAAGAAGTCAGCAATTATGGATGGATGCTGTGAAGATTCTCATGGAGCTCCCACGACAGTTCCCAGGGGTGGTGTCATTGTCCCCACCATAGGGAGGTAGGAAGGAAGGCTGGGGGGGCGACTCGCTTGAGGTCTCACAGGATCGAGGGTAGCCAGAACATTATGTCATGTACAGCTTCATGCTCTCCGGGCACGGACTGTTCTGCCTGGGTAGTTTCCCAGGCCTCTCCTCATTGTGCCGGCCCCTGCTTATCCAGAGGACAATAGAATTCAAACCTGTAGGTAAAACCAAGTTGGGTCAGAATCCTGCACCACCACTTCATTTCTCCAAATGCACTGTGGTGTGTGTGTGTGTGTGTGTGTGTGTGTGTGTGTACATGCACTTGCATGTTCAGACACTGAGTATGGTGGTCAGACTCATATACTCTGGGGCCAGACTTCCCAGGTCCCAAATTCTCAGCTATGTAATCTCAGACACAATACTCCTCTCTTCTCTTTGAAAGAACCAAATAGTAACTAGATCATCCTTGTCACTAGTGTGTGGGAACAGACCTGGTACTTGGTAACTAGACTATCCTTGTCACTAGTGTGTAGAAATAGACCTGCTACTTGGCACACAATAAAATCTTTTTTTTTTTCACAACAAAATCTTTTGAATTAAAAATATTGGGGAAACTGAGTCACGATTGCAACAAGCAACTTTGTAAGAGACAGGCTACTTGCAGCAGGTGGCTCTTCAGAGGGGCCCAGCATCTCTTGTCCCAGAATTCCCTGCTTCAGACTCACCAGGAGCCGCTCTGATGCTCTGGGATCTGTCCCAGAGCAGGGCTGAGTTTTGCTTCTGAACTCTGGTGCTCTGTGTATCTGGAATCCACACTCAGCTCTTGGTCTTGGTGGACAGAGCTATTCCCTTCCATCTCTTCATCAGAGCCTCGCTATCCCTCCCTTCAGCCCTCAGTCCCAAACCTAGGGGCTGCCCTGGACCCCCTGCCCTCCCCTATCCCCACCCACAACATCCCTCCCACTGCCTCCACCATCTAGGACCTTCTCCAGCCTCCCTACACCCTTCAGGCCTCCCCGCCTACCTCTGAGATGCTGTACCCAATCCCTGCCCTCCCCAGTGTGCTTCCAGGGCCTGCACTTCCCCTTCCAGGTCATTACCCAGAGATCACTGCCTTAGAGAGACCCTGCCCCCAATTCCCTCTTCACACCGCATCTCCTCTTTAGTCCCCTTTCTCCTTAGCTCCTCTTCAGCATGCTCCTCTCTACCTGAAGTGATCTTATAACTTGTTTATGAAATGTATAAACCAATTATTTATAAAGCATGAATCACTGCCCTTCCCTGTAAAGTGTAAGCTCTGAGAGAAGGAGGGAGGGAGGGAAGGAGGGAGGGAGGGAGGGAGGGAGGGAGGGAGGGAGGAGGGAGGGGTAGGGAGGGCTTCGGCCAGGTGGAAACTGAGGACAGGCCATCCTGGGCCCTGAGCCATTTGGGACAGTCTATCCATAGTTGCCAGAGATGATCTTCCGGGCACTAGGCCATTTGGAGACTTCAGTCTGTCTGCCCTTGAGAGGTAGAACCTGACCTCTGGGACAGATGTGTGGAGCTTCCTGTGGCCAGTGGAGGCCGAAGCCCTTTCTCCTGGCTCTCCTGCTCCAGCAGCTGTCCCTCTCCAAGGTGCAGGGGGAAGAGGACTTTCCGGGGTGGGTCCTTCTAACGGAGTGTTAGGGACGAGACTGTTGAGAACGTGAACCCCGGGGGAGATATCCAGCTTCTCCTGACATACAGCCTCTGGGGCAGGACAGGACCCTGGACTTGTCCTGACAATGCTTCCTCTGTCAGATCCACTTGAGTCTGCTGGGGACAGAGAGTGAGGACAGGCTGTCCCCTGCAGGGGTGAGGAGCACATAGCAATACCCTCTGTCCCATAGACTCAGGACCACTTGCCTGAGGCAGGGTAGTTCATAGAAGACAGAAGAGGCCCTTGGCCCACAGCCTCCCAATTCCGTGGTAGCTCTTACGCCACAGACAGCCTGGGTACCCATCTCTGCTCCCCACTGCTGTGAGGTCCTTCCTGAGTGTCATTTCTCTAAGTATGGTCCCCAAAGCATCACCGGCAGCGCTGTCCCCCCAGGGCCCTATTCCAGTCCAGCTGCATGGGAACTCCGGTGGGCCTGGTGTCTGGGTTCAATCTTGGCTTTTCTCAGGGATTCCTGTATAAAGCTGAAGGATCCTGACAAGCTTCAGTGGCCTTCCCCTCCGGCCCTGTGTGACTTGAGCCGTCAGTCTGTTTTCTCACCAGATGACAGCTACTGGAAGACGGTGTTGTGACACATGCCTTGGACCTGTTGCTTGGCACCCCCCCCCCTCAAGGCCAGCATCCAGGGAAGACTGTATTCACAAAAGACTATGACAGTCAGGGGTTCAAAGGCTGGCCTCACTCTGGCTGGGTGATCTAGCAAGATGCTTCAAGGAACCTCAACCCACTGACCCTCTTGTGCCCTCCATTCTCCAGAGAGAATAGCCATGCATCTGGCTTGGCAGCCATGTGGCTGAAACTAGATCACATGTCAAAGCGCTCAGGCTGGACCCCGGAAAACTCCTGGGAGTCACAGTCCCTTATCCCAAACTCCGGGCGACAGAGTTTCAGAAGTCTAACTCACTTATTATCTAACACACTTAGTGAGGCACTTCCATAGATTAACACGCTGAATTAAGAGTGAACACCACTCCTAATTCACTTAGCTTCACTGAGACGCTCTGACTTTATCCAGAAGGCAATGGGGAGCCATGGAAGAAGGCAGAGAAGTGTCATGGTTTGGTAAATGTCATAAAACAATGACCAAATCCAAGCATATCCTAGAACCCCCTGGGAAGCTGGTTAAACACATACTGCTCCCTAAGCCATGGTTACTTGTACCCAGTGGATCTGGTAAAGAAGTGTGGTCACAACCCCACTTACAGAGGACAGAGTAGTGGATGCCCAGAGAGGCAGGACCTCATTGATAGTGAGTGGCCAGGCCAGGGACCTGACAAAAGCCCTGGAATGAAACCTGTGAGGAGCCTTCAGGTTCTCAGGGAACAGTGGGTAGAGAGCTGTGGATGGGACACCCAAGCCATTTGTTGGGCTTAGTGGAGACCCGTGGTAGAGGCAAGAACACCAGTCTCAGTGTGGTGGGTGAGAGAAGTTCTGTGCTGGGGTGCAGGGGGGAGCTGCCTGGCTCTACTCTAGTCCAAGACTGTCATGCGGTGCCCCAGAATTTCCCTGCCCCACCCCCAGCCCACACCCTGGCATGTCTGGGCCTGGGCTCCGGGAAGAAGAGCAATCTTCCAGTTTGTGTTGCCCAAACATTATGCAGGCCTGTTGATGTCTCTCCATGGCAACAGCGTTCCGACCTGGATGGGGGCGAGGGAGCAGATCTGTGCCAGACATCCCGAGGTGCTGTCCCTATCTATCCCTGGGGGACTGAGGGAAGCATCTGGCCTAGTGAAGCCCAAACCACCAAGTAAAAGGCCAAGGTGAGCAGGCCACGGGTGGGGAACGTGGGAGGGAGAGGCACTGCTGGGGGGAGGGTTCCTGAATACCGCTGTCTGTTCTGTCCTCAGGGTCTGTCTGGGGACAGATGACAGTTAATACTCAGGCCCCAAGGATGTGCTCTTCTGCCTCAGACCCTGGTGTGGCTGGCTTGGAGCTGTGGGCCTGTCTGACCAGGCTCTTTATCAGTGGGACACCGATGTCAACCCTGGCCTTACAATATGACTAGGAGGAGTAGATGGGTTGGATGGAACGAGCCTAGGTCGGCCATCTCCCCTGACTCTCTTGAGTTGGACCATGGATGTTCCAGGGCTGGTGGACTGGTGGGTAATGGGTACTGTGTAAGCCCAGGACTGTGAACTCTGCAGGTACACTTTCCTCATGGCCCAGAAACCAGCCTCAGGTCAGGGGACTGGCTATAATTCTTCCCGTCACTCCCGACAAACATTTCTTTCCAAGCTCAGTGAAGTTGGGTGTAACGGAACAGCCTGCTGTCCTAGCATTCAGGAGGCTGAGGCAGGAGGATGGATTTCTGAGTCCTAGGCTAGCCTGGGCTACATGGCGAGATCCTGTCACAGATAAAACAAGACAAAGGAAGAGACAAATAGAACAGCATGGCAGACCGGGGAGCTGACGACGGAACTGGATTTCAAAGCCAGAGTTCTGGATTCAAATCAACAAGCGTTGTGACCATGGGCAGGCTACTCCACTGTCTCGGCCTTGGTTTCCCTCTCTGAAAATAGCTGGCAGTTCTAGTGTAGCTCAGATGGGCACCTCAGCGGCACCCTGGAGGTGTCTGTCCCTAATGTGATCTGTCAGGGGGTCTAGCTGGCTTGGTATCTTAGTTAGGATTTCTATTGCTGTGATGAAACACCACAAACAAAAAAGTAACTTGGGGAGGAAAGGGTTATACTTCCACATCACAGTTCATCATCAAAGGAAGTCAGGACAGGAACTCAAACATGGCAGGAACCTGGAGGCAGGAGCTGATGCGGAGGCCATGGAGGGGGCTGCTCACTGACTTGCTTCCTATTATTTTCTCAGCCTGCTTTCTTATAGAAACCCAGGACAGCTGGGCGGTGGTGGTGGTGGTGGCGGCGCCGCCGGCGCATGCCTTTAAGCACTTGGAAGGCAGAGGCAGGTGAATCTCTGTGAGTTCAAGGTTAGCCTGGTCTACAGAGTGAGTTTCAGGACAGACTCCAAAGCTACAGAGAGAAACCTTGCCACAAAAAGAAGGAGGAGGAGGAGGAGGAGAAGAAGAAGAAGAAGAAGAAGAAGAAGAAGAAGAAGAAGAAGAAGAAGAAGAAGAAGAAGAAGAAGAAGAAGCATCAGCAGCCCAGGACAACCAACCAAAGGATGGCACCACCCACAGTGGGCTGGGCCCTCCATCAATCACTATACCTTACACTCAGATCTTATGGAGGCATTTTCTCAATTGAGGTTTCCTCCGCTCAGGCTCAGATCACTCTAGATGTGTCAACTTGACCTAAGACTAGCCGGCACTCTTGGCTTTCAAATGTTATCCAAATCAACAATATCTTCCCCAAGTCAGCCTCACTCAGGGCTACCACACTGCAGGAACCACCTTCCTGGTTTGGCTCTCAGTGCCTCCTCCGTACTGCAGTAGTACTACGGTGGTACTACTGTGTCTCAATCACCGTTGAGGGGCAGGGACAGTCCTGTGTGGCCTCTGGTAGAACACACTTGCCCTGTCACATGTCTCCTGCCATGGACCCTTGCTCATCCTCTCAGGCCGCACGGCTCCCCAGCCCCACCCCTGGGCAGTGCTGGCGAGGTCCTGCTTTGAGGCTTCCCATTGGCTGTTCCCTCTGCCTGAATGGCTTTTCCAGACAAGGCTGGCTCCTCTCTCAGCTTTGCTCTTCTGTGCTGAAGTTGTGCTCAGACACCATCAGATTGGATCTGGTACTTAAGGAGCAGCCCGTTTCCCAGAGAGTTCTCTTATCCTCCAGGTCATGCTATGGTCCCATGCCACTGGCATTGAACTCCCTTGCCATCTCTCTGCTCAGACCTAAGGCTGCCTCCCCCAAGCTGCTCTTCAGGGCCGGCCTTCTGGTTTCTTCCCCATCCTGGCTGACTCTTGGTGTCGGCATGCCAGCTGGTGACATGGTCCACGCGATGGTCCGTTAATTGAGCCCAGGTGCAGGCACAGGTGTTGCCAACTTGCCCAACGCTAACTAACATACATGGCTGCGGTTCAGCACGCCCCTCGGCCCTCAAAGGTAGCCACAGGCACGATAAACTCATTGGGGGGACAGAGGACATCCCCCCCTTTCATCCACAGTCATTACTCAGAACCGCTTCCTGTGGGGTGGGGTGGATCCTTTCTTCAAGTTTTATGTGGTTCAATCTTAAAAGTTGCAAGACCACCGATAGAGTTATGCTTCTGCCCTTCGCCTTGAACCTGGCCCTCAGCCAGGCCCCTCTGGGACATGTCCAGGGCTCTTTTGTTACAGCCAGAGGTGCGGCTGGCACTTAGTAGGTAGAGGCAAGGGAGGCGATCATTCTCACATCAGAGAACTGTCTGGGCCAAAGTGACAAGAGTGACAGCTTGAGAGGCCCCGCCCCAAACCATTACCTGTCTCACTTATCTCTCTGCCTGCCTCAGTTATCTCTGCCTGTCTCCCGCTGTCTCTGTCTCTATCTCTTCTATGTCTCCCCCTCCCTGTCTCTGTTTCTTTCTGAACTCTCTCTTTGTCTCTCCATCTCTGTCTTTCTGTGTGTTCTATGTCTATGTTTTTTGTCTTTCTCTGTATCTCTGTTTCTGTGTCACTTTATCTCTCTATGTGACTGTTTCTCTGTGCCTCTGTCCATATGTGTCTTTCTGTCTGTCTTAATCTCTGTCTCTTTCTTTCTGTCTCTCTGTCACTCTCTCTCTCTCTCTTTCTCTCTCTCTCTCTCTCTCTCTCTCACACACACACACACACACACACACACACACATATCATATGTATGTCCAGATATTTGTTTCTGTGTGTGTGTGTGTGTTATAGGTGTGTGTGTATGTATGTATGTATTTTCACATGTATGTGGGCACTCGTATATGTACGTGGGGTGTGTATACACCTGTGTGGATGTGTGTGTGGAAGCCCACAGCTGACACCACGTCAACACAGGCTCAAACCAACACGAGCTGCCAAAATCCTTCCTTTCCTTAGCTCTCTTTTCTCAAATGCTTCATTGCCGAAATGGAAGGCTTATCTAGACAGTGATGGTGAGTTTAGTTGGCCTCAGTGGACCCTGACACTCCTCCTCCAAATGTGTCTCTTCAGACAGAGCCTCATGCACAGTGATGTGTGGCTGGATGTGGCATGGGACTTGGTCTGTTCTTGCTGATTGGGTTTAACACCTTTCTTAATCCCCCTCTTGGCTCCCACCTCCCTCAACTGCAGTGGTTCTCAACCTGTGGGTTGTGAACCTTTTGACAAACCTCTGTCTCCAAAACTATTTACATTACAATTGATAACAGTAGCAAAATGACAGTTATGAAGTAGCAACAAACATAATTTTATGGTTGAGGTCACCTCAACATGGGGAGCAGTAGTAAAGGGTCCCAGCGTTAGGAAGGGTGAGGACCACTGCTTCACAGAGACACTGCTTTGTGCTACAAGTGAGGGATAGATAGATAGATAGAGTGCTGCCGGTGTGTCTGGGCTGTGTCTGCTTCGGGTTCCCACAGCGTGGGCTGTGCATGAGCGGAGACATTTTGACACTAGACTCTTCATTAAAGAATGGTAAATCCCACTGTGAGCAATCTATTCTTTCTCGGAGTCTCTTCCCATCCACAGATGATTTCAAGGACAAAGTATCAGGCTGTTGAGACCATGGTTTTAATGTCCTTTTATACTTACTGATTTTCCCCTTTGTAGATTGATAGCCCAGGCTGGCCTCAGTCTCCTTAGGTCATAGAAGCTGACCCTTCACCTCCTGGGTGCTGGAATTTCAGTTTATGTGGTACTGGGGATCACATGCAGGGTCTTGCACATACTAGGCAGGTACTCTACCAGCTGAGCCCGCATCCCCAGTCCCTGGTAATACTCTTTAATGAAGAGATGTGACCACTGGCACAGAGTCTTTGGAAGCCAACAATATCCACATGGAAGACATGGCATTGTCATGCTGCTGTCTTCAAATTAAGATGCCAGCGCAAATTATTTAAGGTTGATGCACCCCAGTTTCCCTATCTGTAAAACCGAGATAAAGCTCATCAACAAGGCTCTTTTTTTTTTTTTTTTTAGTTTTTGTATTTTGGTTTTAGGAGACAGGTTTTTTTTTTTTTCTGTGCAACCACCCTGACTGTCCTGGATCTCATGCTGTAGACCAGGCTGGCTTCAAACTCACAGAGATCCACCTGCCTCTGCCTCCCAAGTGCTGGGATCAAAGGCGTGCGCCACCACCAACCCACTCAGTAGGGTTCTTATGAAGACACAGGAGTTCACATCAGTATCAGGCCTGAGTGCTGGCTATAGTCATTAATGTAAGATTTTTTTTTATTTTATGTATAACAGGGGTGTTTTGCCTTCATGTATCTATGTGATTATGTGCAAGCCTGGCGCCTGTGGAGTTCAGAAGAGGGAGTCAGATCCCCTGGAACAGGAGTTAAGGATGGTTGTAAACTCCCATGTGGGTGCTGGGACTTGGACCCAGGTCCTCTGCAAGAGCAGCCAATGCTCCTAAGCACGGAGCCAGCTATCCGACCTAACATTTTGGCAACGTCCATGGATGGGAAGTGATTCCAGTTTTCCACCGGGTGGGGATGCACCATATCCTTTTGAGAATCATTTGCTTCACTGACCCAATTAGTAACAAAAGTTAAGTGTAAAGCAAGCCCCCCACAGATGTAGCAGCAAAGATTAGCAAAGCCCCCTGACGCCAGCCGAGCTTCAGCAATGACACTGCCTAGCGTCACCCCCCTCAGATACCTTCCCCTCCAGCCACCAAGTCCCTTATACAAATTTGACTTGGA